AAGGTTAAAAAGAAAAAGGCTGTGGTTTTAGAAAAAACCAACTTTGGCCATTACAACCAGAGTCGGGTAAGGGAGTTAGTTACGTGTGGGGAAGGTGTTAGCACCCCCACAACGCCCCTTTTGGGTTCCCTATGATGGACTAACTTAGAAAATAAACGCTTAAAGAAATTACAGTTTTACCCTATTATTTGATCTACTTGAAAAATTTAAATATCTACATGGCTCTATTATCTAATGCACACAAAGAAAGCGATAAAAAAAGCAATAAAAAAGACAGAGAATAGAGAAGGAACCTCCGAAGCGAGCTTTATATTAACTCTTCAAAAACGTGAGGACGCCTTTTGGCAGTCCCCGCACTCTACAAACACGCTCCTCCCGCAAAATAAAGAAAAGTCACTCTACTGAGGGTCGGATGTCTCAAAAAGAGACTTCCTTAACCGATTTCAACCTTAACGGAAATCGGAAAGCTCCCTCGAACCCCGGAATAATGCTTAGGGTCACTCTCAAGTGCCAAAAAGCTTCCAAGAGAGTGGAGGAGTGGAAAAGGTGTGAAAAAACGGAGAAATGAGGCTCCTATTTATAGGGATTCGGGCCTGGAAAAGGTGGACGGTCGTCTGGACAAAGCGGACGGCCGTCCATGGCCTTAAAGTTGCCATGGACTGCCATCTGCTTGTCCTGGACGGCCATCTGCCTGTTCAGGATGGCCATCCGCCAGTTCTGGACGGCCATCTGTTGTCTCCGGCGGATTTCCTGATTTTTAATGCCTCTAAAAACCCTTTCTATCCTAAATGGAACCTAGAACAAGCTATTAGGGACTTGATAAAGTCTTAACCATCTTCGAAACAGGCGATCTTCAGCTTCATTAGGGGCTCGAGAAAGATTTGGGGTCTACACGGAAGACTACCCTGATAGAAAAAGGGAACATCCAGGGTTGGAAAGTCTCAATGTTAGAAGACCATCTGGCCACTTTGGCTGAAAGGGCAGAATGGGTCGCTTTCAACAAAACCCTGACTTTGATTATATTTGGAACAATCTTGTTTCCCTTCCACATCGACACAGTGGATCAAGCCGTCATGGACGCCTTCTTCGCCTGGGACGTGAACTCGCAGAGTCCCTTTCCTGCAATTCTTTCCGACACCTTGCTCTCGGTGGAATTTTGCCGCCAGAAGCAAGGGAAAACACTCTGTTTTTGCTCTTCATTACTTTTTGTGTGGGGCATCACACATTTCTACGCTTCTAGTCACATGGGGATGTTCCCCGACCCTTTGAGGAGCTTCTCCAAAATTCCTCTCCACCGATGCCTAACCTCAGAGTGGAAGGACGAGTTGGAACAATGGGACGCCAACCAATTATCCTGGGTCTGCCCTTGGTTCCGACCAGGTCCATTCCTCATCAGATGTGGGGATTATCTGAACATACCGTTGATAGGACTCAGGGGTTGCATAGCCTATTCACCGTTGATAGGCACATGTACCGGCAATTCCCTTCTTCCGGATCATCTCCCGGCTCAAGTCCTCCGTTTTAGGGATAGTAGTAAAAAATAAATGCTGTAACCAAAATTTTTTTATCATAAATAAAATTTTATTTCATCCATTATTACTCTCATTTATGAAAAAGTCAGCGTAGCAAAAAGAAACAATAATTAAAAAGACTTACGCTCAACCCCGAAAAAACCAAAATCCAAAATCGCGAGAGAAAAGATATAAATGCGGAAAAAGGCAGGATAAAAAACAACGCAAGTCAATCACACTGACCAAGAAATTTTCGACAACCGACAAGAGTCGAACAACAAATAAACAAGACCATCCCAAGCAGCTAAAAAGTTGGATGAACACCAACAGAATCCCCGGCACAGACCGGACGATAGGGGGTTCATACCTATCAACCTGCGCACACGGTGTGCCTGATCTACACACGAGCCAGATCAGTAAGTTGCAACTACCAACCTGATGGGGGGTTTATACTCATCCAGTCTGACGCACAACGGACTGTAACTACCAGCTTGATGGGGGGTTTATACTCATCCAGTCCTACACATAGTGGGTTGTAACTACCAACCTGATAGGGGGTTCATACCCATCAACCGAAGGATCGGCTACCGTCAGAAGGAGTATCATGAGGTTCTACCATGTGTCAACCGAAGGGATCGACTACCGTCAGAAGGAGTATCCTAGAGGTGCACAACACACTTTTCCCCAGAAGATCAACCGCCACAAGATGGAACGTCCGAAGGGTAACCGGGCAAGAGGGTGAACTCCTTTACCCTCCAGTCGATCTTCTAAGCACGACAGGCCAACAGTCGACTAGTCAGGTAAAGGGGGGGTAGCTGTAGACCCCAAATCTTGCCCGACCTCAAAATAAGAGCAGAAGACCTCCTATTCGAAGATGGACGAAGCCTAAGAAGCCACTAGAAGAGACTATTAGGCCCCATGTTAGGATAGGAAGAGTTTTCTGTATAAAAATAAGGATTTTTGCCTTCAGGGGTCGAGACCGCTGTCTCGCTTTTCGGGACCGCTGTCTCGTCATTGCTGCAAGTCGAGACCGCCGACTCGTTTGGCGAGACAGCCGTCTCGCCACTTGCCAATGGTGAGACCCCCCGTCCCGATTGGCGAGAAGGCCCTCTCGTCTTTGGCAAAGTCGATACCGCCGTCTCGCCAAATGAGACGGCAGTCTCGCCACTTTTGCAAGTCGAGAGTGCCGTCCCAAATGGTGAGACGGCCGTCTCGACCTTGTCAGACGAGACGGCCGTCTCGACCTGACAGGCGCGAATCCCTATAAATAGTGAGTGCTCCCCCCTCATTTCACACAGTTCTTCCACTTTCCCTTCTACACTTTCTTCAAATTCTCTTCCTAGAGTCCCTTCGAAGCATTTCTGGAGTTTTTGAGAGCTTTTTATAGCATTTCGAGAGAGTTTTCGGCGTTGTAAGAGCGAAGGGCTGCCAAAACGCACCCTACTTTCAAGAAAATTAATAAAAAATCTTGCCTCAGAGGTTTCTTCATTCTCTCCCTCTCTTTTATTGTCTTTATTTTTAAATTGGGTAATAGACATTAGGGCTATGTAGTCGTTATTTTAATTCCGTAAATAAAAGGGTAAAAGCATCTTTTCAAAAGTTTATTTATAAAATAGCTGGCCTATCATAGGGAACCCAAAAGGGGTGTTGTAAGGGAACTAACACTTCCCTTACACGTAACTAACTCCCTTACCCAACTCTAGTTTTAACGACCAAAGTTGGTTTTCGAAAACCAACGCCTTTTTCCTCCTTTTTCAATGTTTCCGGTAAAAACATCGGTGGCGACTCCATAAGAACCCCTTCAAATTAGTTCTTGGGTTAGCCCGGTTATCGAACAACCCAAGAACACCTTTTCGAAAACCTCACCTCTAGGTTTAGCCCGGTTATCGGACAACCTAAAGGCGTTGTAACCACACCCATAAAAACGCAAAAATTGGAAAGTCAGAACCATTGCGTTGCTCCGACCGCCTCTATTTTACGGCGGCAACACTGACCAAATTTTGTTTTGGGTTAATCAATTAATGTGCTTTAGTTTGGTTTTGTTTCAAGTTGTAATAAGGGCCCAATTGGAAACTTAGGCATCAACCTTTAGAAGACCAAGAGGGTGCATAGCTGGTTGACTTTTGGTTGCCACAATTTCAGTTACAATCAACCATTAAGTAGTTTTCAATTTCTAGGTTAATGGATCGTTATTAGCATTTATTTACTATTATTAAGTAGTTTTCAATTCCTAGATTACTGGATCATTATTAGCATTTATTTTCTTTTATTGAGTCTTTGTAACTCTATGGCAAAAGCTTCTATATAAGTTGAACCATTTTTATCAAAAATACAAGTTGAGTTTTATTCAAAAATATTAGAGTTTAGCTATTTTATCTTAGTGAGAGTGATTCTCCTAAGTTCTTGAGTGAATCAACAATCCTTGGTTGTATCAAAGGACTTTTCACATCCTTTGTGAGTTGTCTCCCTTGGAAAGAGTGATTCTTTCCTTCGACCTTTCACATTCACCTTTTGTTCTTTCTTCACTAGAACTCAGAAAACTCAATTATGCCCAACCCTGAAACATTCATCACTTTCTAATCTACCTTCTCACTAATTTCCTAAATTTGCTACAAAGTTCTAACCCGAAAGATCCTAAGTCAGCCTTTGTGCAAATGAGGTTCATATCATTTGGTATTCAAAGCTCCGGTTTAAGGGTTTGAACGTTAAATTGGTAACATATTTCCTTCATTTTTTTTGGCAAAGTGATTATTACCTTATTTTGTTGATATTATTTGTGATTGTACTAAATCATTGAAAAAGAAAAATTAGGCCCCTGTGAAAATAAAAAAATAAAAAAATAAAGTTACACCATTTTATAATTTGGTTGAAAGTGAAAGCAATGACGGGGTGATTGATGGCAATGTGAAACATGTCCCTAGATTCCCAAGAGATGATTTTGATGATGATTCAAGTCAACAACATTCAAGACTCAAGCAAGCCCAAGATGTGATTTTGATAAATATTTAATTCAAACATCAAGCAAGCCCAAGATGATTCCTGGAGACTAGATAGAGTCTTAGAATACTGGATATGGAGGTACAACTTGATGAAGTGGTATTATGCATAAGTCTCAAAAGCATAAGTGATGAGTCCCTATATGCCCCAAAGATCAGAGAGGTCATCCCTTGGAGGATCACTAGGAACATGACTAAAAGCGAGGCCTCTTTCTCACCCTCCACTTTGAATTTTCTTAGCATTTATTTTCTTAAATTTTAGAAACTCATTTTCACATTTTTTTGTAGGGCTACTTTATACACCTCCTTTTTGAAGACCACCACCTGTTTTTGGTGGAAAAGAAGGCTTGGACATTGATGAGCCATTATTTTCCCACATTTTCTTAACTTTATGTACCTATCTTAATCATTGCATTGTGCTTAATTGTCTATTACTAGTGCGTTTTCAATTATTAGGCTTCATTGGACTGATAATTCTGTTTATTAATTGCAGGTTTCATTGGGTTTAGAATTAAATTTTTGGACTTTAAGAGGCATTACCATGTCATTGCCACGTCGTCATTGCCATGTCACTACCACATCACCTACCATGTCAGTTGCTATTTCCACAACAGATTATTGCTTGCCGTGTCAGCTAGGTTCTGTTTTATGTGTAATCCCGTGTGGGCTAGCTTGGGACCATTTCTAGGGTACTCTAGGGTTAGGGTAGGATATGTTTGAGATGAGACAGTAGGAGTAAGGGGATAGCCACTATAGTTCTTTTTGTATTATGTTTTATGTTGGTTTTCTCTGCACTTTCATGTTGACTGTTCAAGACTCATTAATGGATTAATACGGTTCATTTTCGTTTTCTACTGCCACAAAAGTTTACATTCTTTCACTTTTATTGCATTTTCGTTTGTGTAGTTCAGTTCAGTTCAACCCCAGTTTCGTATTTCAATTTCTGCTGCAATTCATTTTCTGCAATTTCATTTTGTTTGCAATGTTTTTCTATTCTGCTATAATTTCGTGTTAATGGATAGCTAAACCCAGAGGATTGGGTCCTTGAAGGATTGCAATCTCTTTTGAGAGGTTCTCTGCATTTAAATGTCCAGTTTAGTTTCTTGTTGTTGATTCTCTGCACTAGATCATTAAAAGTAAGTCATGCTTAATGAATTCGGGTTTATTGTATGTAGTACCATGAGTTGCTTAATCTTGTGGGGAGAATCGATTACATACACATTTGCTTAATTTGTGTAAGGAAGGAGTAAGTTGGATAGATTTTATATTATGAACCAATAACATCAAAGATGCATTATGTCAAGGGCCTAATCTATTTTAATACGCATTTGTACAAGTTGTTGCTGTTCTATTTCATTTAATCTGATATATACCAAACCCCCCCATTACGTGTTTAACCATTTGACAGAAAGAAAAGGTCCTTGGGAGACGACCTAGGAGTCACTTCCTAGAACTACATTTATGTTGTTTATTTGACCGGATACGGCTCCGATCAAATTTGGCGTTGTTGCCGGGGACCAACGGTTTCTATCAACGGGTTGTGTGTTGTGTTTTGTTTTAGTTTAGGGTAGTTTATTTATGTAATTTCGTGTTGGGGTGTGATTTACTGTTGTGGTCAGTTATATTTTCAATTTTGCGGTTTGTTATTGAAGGTTGTAGGTGCAGCAATTTGGAGCAAGGAATAATTTCGAATTTAGCTGCACAATTCACCTTGGAAGGCAATGGAACAGTAACTTAAATTTGCTATAAAATTGCTACGGCAAAATTTTTCTGTTTGCTATTTTCTACAGATTTTTTTGTTTGTTATTTCTGTAGATTTTTTCTGTTGCTGTTTTCTATTTGTTGTTTTCTGTATAATTTTTTTTGTTTGCTATTTTTGTTAATTGTTGTTTCTGCTGTTTTCTACCACATAAATTCGTCCAAGCTATGGAGCAGTCGAATTCTGCTGCAGAATTTTTTTGAAACAATTTTTCTATTTGCAGTTTCTGCTATTTTCTGTTTGTTGTTTCTGCTGTTTACTATTTTTATTGCTGTTTTTTGCTGCATACTTTGTTTTTGGAGGCCAACTCTGTTTTCTATCCATACTACTCCTCTGTTTCATGTGTGAAATTGTGGGAAAATTGCATACAATGTTCTGTTTTGGGCCCAAATTTTGTTGTGAATAGTGTTGTGAATAGTACCAATTTTCCACTAGTTTTCGAAAAATCTAAAAAAATACTTCCTCAAAGAATTTTTCTATCATTTTTGGTGTCCGAACTTCTTTCATCATGTATTAAGTGCATGCAAAAGGAAAGGTCCAAATTCATTCATTTGATATGGTTTCCAATTGGGTGGTGAAGAAAAAATTGTGAAAACTTCAAACGACCATAACTTTTGCTCTTGTTATTAGAATTGGACGTATTATATATGCTTTTGGGGTAGAAAAATGAGATCTACACAACCTAGACCACTTCGTCATCCAGCCTTTCTTAGAACTCCAAAAAAGGCCATTTACTATTTCTTTTTTTATTTTTGAAGTTTTATTGCCCTATTTTTCCAAACTTTTATAGGGTGGTTCACATAGCTAGACTTAGCATTTTTCCTTGTTGATTTTTTTTGTTAAATCCTATGATTTCAGGTGCATGCTGACCAAGGGGTTTGGTAAATTGAATTATGTAGCTCAAGATTTGAATTTGAGTGATTTTGTTGACTTTTTGTGGGCTATTTAGGTAAGGTTGACCCTTTTGTGCATGTACTTAACCATTGAATTTTCACCTAAAATATTTTGTGCTAGTTTCTATTGATCCTAGGATAATTGTGCAATTCTTTTGGTGGTTCTGAAAATTTTCAAAAAATTTCCAATTTTACCCCCTATTTAAGCATGTTTGAGAACTACTTGATATGCTATATATAGTGCATGACTAGGGGTAATCCAGGAATTTTACACCCATTTGACCCTGAAGTTGGTAAGACCTACCATAGGTTAGTTAGGTATAATAGGAATCCACTTGTTAGTGATAGCTCAAATCTGCATAATTCAAACATTCCTCTACATCTGACCATTCTACTGGATCTGAACATAATCCTGATTTTGATAACATGGGTGAGCAAAACAATGTTGGACCCCATGAGAGGAATCTTAGGGATATGGCTGCACCTGATTTCACTTATGCAAATTTATGTATCCAATACCCTGAAGAGGATGTACCATTTGTGCTTAAAACTGGACTAATCCATTTGTTGCCCAAGATTCATGGTCATTGCCATGTCACTGCCACGTCATCATTGACATGTCACTACCACGTCACCTGCCATGTTAGCTGTTATTTCCACATCAGATTATTAGCTGCCGCGTCAGCTAGGTTCTATTTTATGTGTAATCTCGTGTGGGCTAGCTTGGGCCCATTTCTAGTGGACTCTAGGGTTAGGGTAGCATATGTTTGAGATGAGACAGCAGGAGTAAGGGGGTAGCCACTATAGTTCTTTTTGCATTCTGTTTTATGTTGGTTTTCTCTGCACTTTCATGTTGACTGTTCAAGACTCATTGATGGATGAATACAGTTCATTTTCGTTTTCTGCTGCCACAAAAGTTTACATTCTTTCACTTCTATTTCATTTTTGTTTGTGTAGTTCAGTTCAGTTCAACCCCAGTTTCGTATTTCAATTTCTCCTGCAATTCATTTTAAGAAATCTCATTTTGTTTGCAATGTTTTGCTATTCTGCTGTAATTTCATGTTAATGGATAGCTAAACACAGAGGATTAGGTCCTTGAAGGATTGCAATCTCTGTTGAGAGGTTCTCTACACTTAAATGTCCAGTTTAGTTTCTTGTTGTTGATTCTCTGCACTGGATCATTAAACGTAAGTCATGCTTAATGAATTCGGGTTTATTGTATGCAGTACCATGAGTTGCTTAATCTTGTGGGGAGAATCGATTACTTACAAGTTTGCTTAATTTGTGTAAGGAGGGAGTAAGCTGGATAGATTTTATATTATGAACCAATGACATCAGAGATGCATTCTATTAAGGTCCTAATCTATTTTAATCTGCATTTATACAAGTTGTTGTTGTTCTATTTCATTTAATCTGATAAATACCAAACCCCCATTACGTGTTTAACCATTTGGTAGAAAGAAACGGTCCTTGGGAGATGACCTAGGAGTCACTTCCTAGTACTACATTTATGTTGTTTATTTGACTGGATACGACTCTGATCAGACATATAGGATGGTTGCATGGGCTGCCCAAAGGTGTAGGACACTCCTTTTTCATGTCCTACACCCCTTTTTGGAGAGGAAGAAGCTTAGGATGCGGGATTGGTAAGCTTGGGACAACCCAAAAAGAAGCACACCTCTTTTTTTTACGTTCTTCACACCTTTAGAGATATTTTTGGTGGGCTAGGACGAATTTAACATATTTGGACCATGGGGACTCTAGCCTTTAGGTTTAGGTTAAGTTTATGTCTCATTTTGTAATTCCATCTAGGTCCCTCCCCCAAAAGCCTATAAATAGAAGATTTCTTCTCATGTAATTAGGTTGAACATTTATGACAAGTTTGTGAGGTTACTTAGAGTGTTTCCATCTCTTTGAGTGTCTTATCTTGAACCTTGGTTCAAGTGGCGGCAACCACCACTTATCAAGGGTGGCTAATCCCCTAGTGGCGTGCCAACACTCCACCACCACTATACTTCTTTTCTCTTTATCTTTTCTTGTTTATTTCTTCACTTCATTTATTTATCCAAGGGGTTGGTCCATTTTTCCAGCCCTTGTCTTTATTTTTTTCTAGTTTCATTCCATCTTTTCCTCCCTCCATAATCCTTGGAAATGAACATTCACACCTAGATAGGCAACTATCTTAATGTCCAGTGGGAATTTTCCTTAGGTTTGCTTACTTTATTGCTTAAAATTTTGCACCTTATCTTCTTAAAATTCTGCACCTTACTTTATTTTACAATATTTGGTATTTAGAGCTTAGGTTGTTTCTAGCACTACTACAGAAAACACTTACTACGACAACATCCAACGTCGGTTTTTATGAAGACTGACGTTGTACAAGACGCGGTGGCAAACTTGTAATTAAGAAACAATATTTAACGTCGGTTATAAAATATCCGACGTAGTAACGGACAAATAACGTTGATTAGATGACAGACGACATTAAATGTTTAAATTTAACGTCGGTTATGTATAACCGACGTTGAAATCCCAAAATCAACGTCGGTTACATGATTTACCCGACGTCGAAAGCATTATCCACGTCGGGTTTTTTAATAACCGACGTTGAATGTCCTATGATACCTAGACTCCAAGGCGCGAAGTTGTTCTTCTGCTTCTTCTTCGTGCCCACATACCTCCCTCCTTCTGCTTCTTCTTCGTGCCCACATACCTCCCTCCTTCAGTCCTCACTGTCGTGCACTGCTACCTCAGTTCGCTGTGGTCTGCTGCCTCAGTCCTCACTGCCGTGCTCTGCCCCCTCGTCGCCCCTTTGCCACCCACTCGCCGCGCTCTTACGCGGCGTACCCCCGTTATTGCCGTGTGTGTGGTAGCCCTCGTTTCCCTAAGGAAACCCCTTCTCATCAGGTTAGATTAAGTTGTATGGATGATTTACAACATGCATTTAACATAAATATGGATTATTTAGAACATTTCCTGCGTATGAACATTAGAAAGATGATGGATGATTTTGTATGGTTTGATTTGATATAGGTTCGTTTAGGCTTTTGGAAGTTTGTTTTCGGTTT